ATATGTATATGTATATATAATATACTTATTACTCATTTCTGTAGATATCTCTATAATTGTTTTTACACCACGTGTTAAATTCCAAAAGGGGGTGCGGACCAGCTTCAAGAACACCCGGCCTTTGTTGTAGGCTGAATCCCAGGCAAGCCAACCGCCTCTACTGAATTACTACGTTTATTACTTCTTAAAATGGCAGATGACAATTCTTCCAAATGTCCTTCTCTGAAGGCTAAGTCGAAGTCTCACCATTTGCGCAGGCAGGCTAAGGAAGCTTCCAAAGCCTCCCAGAGGGATGCCTTAAGGCGCCATAAGGCGTTGGAGAAAGAATTCGATAGGCATTCCAGGGAGTCACGTTCGCTGCCTCCAGCCCTTCCACCTTCCACTCCCTCCACCTCTAATCAACCCCCCCTCCTCCAGACCTCTCTTCCTGATCCAGGCGCAGCTCTCCCCAGGGTCATCAGGCCCCGGGATCAATGACCAGACAGACACCTGAAGCCACCTTCACTCCTATGGCCGCTGGTCTGTGCCAAGAGGAACCTTCTGCAGTAGAGGTTCCAGCACATGAGAGCATGGATGGAACTGGCTATCCGTCAGAGAATTGCAGAGGGTCTCCAACAAATGGCCAGACCCGGCTTCTCCCCGAGGGCCCCCGAACATGAGTCTCTTTCCGTCAGATCCCTTCCAAGATCGGACCCTCCAGTCGGTCAGGTATTCTAACAGAGGGATAGCCCTCTTCCAGAAAGGGAGCAGAGGAGGAGGAAGGGGGCTTTGGTCATTTCAGGGAAGAGGAAGAGGATTACGAATTGGGATCAACCCATTAGAGTGAGCCCCTTTCAGAAGCGGAGCCGATGGAGGGGGAGATGTCTGAGGATGAGGGTCTTACCCCCGACCAACCCGCATTCGTGGGCCTGTTTAAACCCCACATGTACAAATCCCTCCTCTTTAAGGCAAAAAACATCTCTGGCCTTTTCACCCAGTCCCCCTCTGCCCCCCCTCCTCATCAGAAGGCCCAGAGGATTCCATCTTTAAACAGCCGGTGGTGGAGGCTGAGGTCATCCCAGCCCCACCCATTTTTTCCGACCTGGTGGCGAAGCAGCTGGCTTCCACAGGGGCACCCCCCACCCCATCCAGCCAGGATAAGAGGTTCTTCAACCTCGACTCCGACTTTATTAGCCTTCTAGATATTCCTGAGGTTGATGAGCCCATTGTTGGTCTAGCATCCTCCTCCACCCCCAATGAGGCTTTGGAGGCTCTGAAACCCAAGGACAAGTGGTCGGAACTGGCGTTGCGCTGGGCCCACCAATCCGACGCTTGGGCCATTAGATCGGCCACGGCCACCTCCTTTTTCACCAGGTCCTCCATCCGGTGGCTTCAGCAATTAAGACAACACATCCCCACCTCTAACGTAAGGGCACACCAGGATATAGCTAAGCTGGTGGCTGCAGCAGAATTCTCAGCTGACACCACCTTCCAATCAGTGAAGTTTTCCACTAGAGCCATAACTTCCCACGTCACAGCCTGCCGCCTGCTCTGGCTCAAACACTGGCAGGCGGACATTAAAAATATAGTCAAATTGGCCACCGCTCCCATCAAGGGAGACAAGTTATTTCGCCCAGCTCTGGAACCCCTGCTAGTCGAGGGCCACAGCAAGAAAAAATTTCTCCCCTCCCTTTTTCGGAGGTCCGAGCCAAGAGTCCCTCAGCCCTTTCGGAGAGGTTCCTTCTGACCCTTCTATCAGCCTCCCTTCCCGCCCAGGTACCCGAGACCCCCTCCTTCCCACCATCCCAACCCCAGGATCGAGCCGACTCAGGCGACAGGAGTAGAAGGGGCGGCAGCTATAAAAGACCCTTTAGGGGATCAGGGGGAAGACCCTTCTGTTGTCCCAAATAGACCCCATTCCTCGCTCCCCATTGGTGGCCGCCTCAGACATTTTGCCGACCAATGGGATGCCTCTACCTCTGATGCCTGGGTCAGAGACACCATCAGGTTTGGTCTCGCCCTGGAGTTTCGGTCCACCCCCTCTGACTTTTTCATGACATCCCCCCCAAGGGACCCCACCAAATGCGAATTGATGGATTCCGCTATCCAACATCTCCTCGACATTCAGGCCATCCAACCTGTCCCATGCTCTCAATGAGGATGGGGATTTTATTCCCACCTCTTCGTGGTTCCCAAGCACTCCGGGGGATGGAGAGCTATCCTAGACTTAAAACGATTTAATCGCCACTTGATCCATCCCAAGTTTAAAATGCACACCTTGCAGTCTATCCTCCTGGGTACCAGGCAGGGGGACTGGCTTTCCTCCATAGACCTTTCGGAAGCATACCTACATATCCCAATCCGGCCCTCCCACCACAAATTCCTCAGGTTTTGTTACAACAACCTCCACTTTCAATATGTGGCCCTCCCCTTTGGTCTGGCATCGGCCCCTAGGACCTTTACCAAGGTTCTTGCGGTGCTAGCGGCTCACCTCAGAAACCTTCCCGTACGCCTCCACTGCTACCTGGATGATATCCTCATCCTATCTCCCTCCAGACGCCAGGCGGAGAGGGACACCAGAGCTACTCTCTCTGCCCTCCAAGCCCACGGGTTCCTCATCAACTGGCAAAAGCGCCAACTGGCTCCATCCACCCAAATTACTCACTTCGGGGCTGTAATTGATTTGGTCTCAGAAAAGGTCTTTCTCTCCTCAGAGAGGTTCCTCAGTATCCAGGAATCGAAACAGATTAGGCGTTCAAACAGAGTAACTCTATTAGACCTCTCCAAATTACTAGGTAAAATGGTCTCATGCATTTTCATTGTTCCCTGGGCCCGTTTGCACAGCAGATCCCTACAGTGGTTCCTGCTCCCATTTCAAAGATCTGGCAGAAGCAATTCGAAATCCAAGGTCAAGGTACCTCCAAAGGTCCTCACGTCCCTCCTCTGGTGGACCAACCCCACCATCAACAAAGGTCATCACTTCAAGGAGCCCCAGAGGCTCACCCTCACGCCAGCCTATCCGGATGGGGTGCTCACGCCAACTTGCTCACGGCACAGGGCAGATGGTCCAGGATAGAACAAAGATGCAGCATCAACTGGCTAGAACTTCACGCCATCCACCTGGCCCTGCGAAGCTTCCTCCCTCAGGTACGCGGACGTCATGTCCTTATTCTCATGGACAACGTCACGGCCAAAGCACACATCAACAGGCAAGGGGGCACCCAGTCCATTCAGTTGATGAGGGAGGCTGACCATCTCTGCCGTTGGGCAGAGTCCAATCTCCTCTCGATAAAAGCAGAACGTATCTCTGGAGTTTCCAACATCCAGGCGGACTGGCTGAGCAGGGCCACGGTGGACCCATCAGAATGGCGCCTCCACCCATCCCTGTTCAAGGAGGCGTCCAGAATCTTCGGCCTACCAGTGGTGGACCTTTTTGCATCCCCAACCAACACGCAACTTCCAAGATTCTTCTCGAGATACCCGTCACACGGTTCGGAGAGCCACAACGTGCTACACTGCCCCTGGCCTCCAGGGCTCCTATACGCTTTCCCCCCACTAGCCCTAGTTCCCAGAGTGATACAGAAACTGATCCACAAGAAGGCGGATCTGCTTCTGGTGGCCCCTTACTGGCCCAGGCGCCCATGGTTTGCGGACCTCCGCAACTTATCCGTAGCGCCCCCCTGGAGAATCCCCCTGGACAGGATCATGCTCTCTCGGGCCCCTCCTACATCCGGACCCCCAATGGCTCCAGTTAGCCATCTGGAGGTTGAACGGAACCGCCTGAGGAGAGAGAAATTCTCCAGTCAAGTGATTGACACCATTCTAGCCACCAGGCATCCCTCAACCACGCGGATCTACGATGCCACTTGGAATAGCTTCTGCAGGTGGTGACATAAATCCCAAGTTAACCCTCTCTCCCCCTCTATTGCTCAGGTCCTGGAATTCCTCCAAGAAGGCCTGCGTAAAGGGCTTTCCCCTAACACCCTGAGGCGGCAAGTCGCAGCCCTGACAACCGTTGTCTCTTGCGACAACTTTGGTTCCCTCTCCCACCACCCTCGGGTCAGGGCTTTCCTCAGAGGAGCCACCAACTTGTGCCCCCGACTGTTCATAGGTATCCTACCTGGGACCTCAATAAGGTCCTTGTTTCACTCACAAGGCACCCTTTTGAACCTCTGAGGGAGTCCACCCTTCAGTTTTTAACATTTAAGGTGGTGTTTCTGGTGGCCATTACATCAGCCCGGCAAGTATCGGAAATCGCAACCTTATCAGTCAGAAAGGACCTCTGCGTTTTTCACGCTGACCGGGTGGTCCTTCGACCCGACCCTACCTTCCTACCCAAGATCAACTCAACCTTCCACAGGGCGCAGGAACTAGTTCTCCCAAACTTTTGTCCCAGACCCTTGAGGGACAGGGAAATCCTTTAGCACACCCTAGATGTGAGACAGGCCCTGCGCATCTACATTAAGCACACACAACCCTTAAGGAGGTCGGAATCCCTATTCCTTTCCTTTCAGCCCAAGACATTAGGTCACAAAGTATCCCCTTCAACCATCGGTTGCTGGATCCGAGCGACTATCTCCAGATGTTACCTGTCACAATCCCTGCCTGCACTCAGTGGAATAACAGCTCATTCCACTAGGAGTGCCACTACCTTGGCAGCGTGGGCCACCCAGGCTCCAATCTCTGATATATGCTGGGCAGCTATCTGGGCTTCCCCGTCTCCCTTCATTAGGCATTACAAGATAGACGTGTATGCCTCAGCGGAGGCCTCATTTGGCAGACGAGTCCTACAGAGGGTCATCGATGACCCGGAGGGGCTTCCAACCCAGACGGAGTCCGTCCCATAGGACTGCCAAGCTTTGATATGTCCCATTCTCTGGATGCTCCGAGCGGCTCGAGGGAGAATGGGCGTTGGTTCTTACCTGATATGCCCTTTCTCGGCAAGGAGCATCCAGCCCCACCCTAATTTTCCGTCTGGTGGGGAATCTTGTTTCGGCCAAGGATGCACTAGTTAGTTAGGATGAGTACATAGCCTTTTCTTCTCGTCCTCGCAAAACTGGGGAACGCTGCATGGAGTCACGTGGAGGAGGTGGAGTGTTCCTCAATTAAAGCTCAGCCTGTGAGAGATGACTCTGAAGCACTTCCCACTCTCTGGATACTCCTCGCGGCTCACCAAGAAAGGGCGTATCCGGTAAGAACCAACGCCCATTTCAACATCATTTTATTTAAGTCCTCAAAGTATTCTTTCCCTAACTTTATTGGAATTGTCTGAAATAGATATAATATTTTTGGTAATATATTCATTTTAATTGTTGATATTCTCCCTATCAAAGATAGGGAGATTTTTCCATTTTTCTAATCTGTTGCAATCTGTTGTTTTAATCTACAATAGTTGACCTCCTTGATTGTTCCACATCTTGCTGTCAGTTGTATCCAAGATATTTCACTTTTTTTGTGATCTAGATATTTAATCTGTCCATCAGTTCTTTCCTTTGCCTTTCTGTTATGTTCTTCACTAAAATCTTAGTTTTCTCTTTATTTATTTTCAGTCCTGCAACCTCCCCATATTCTTCTGTCTTTTCTATCAATTTAGGACCTGTTTCTAATGGTTCTTCTAGTATAAAAACCAGATCATCTGTAAAATGCCTGTAGTTTATACTCCTCATTTTTTATCTTCATTCTTTTTATTTCCTTGTTTTTTCTAATATTTCTATTTGATATTTCCAAAGTCAATACACATAACAATGGCGACAGGGGACATCCTTGTCTAGTTCCTTTTTTAATATTAATATTGTCAGTCAAATCTCCATTTATCATTACTTTTGCTGATTGTTTATAGTATATTACCTCAATCATTTTACTAAACCTTTCTCCAAAATCCATCTCTTCCGTTTGCAGCAACATAAATTTCCAATTTATATTATCAAATGCTTTCTATGTATCTAAGAAGACTAGTGCCATTTGTTTCTCTGGATTTGTTTCAGAGTATTCCAATGTATTCAATATTGTCATCACATTATCTTTTATTTGTCTTTTAGGCAAAAAGCCATATGATCTGTGCGTATAAAATGGTTTAAGTATCTTTTAAGTCTTTCTGCCATTATTCAGGCAAATATTTTATAATCTGTATTCAACAGGGATATCAGTCTATAATTTTTTATAGGTTGTAGGTCAGTATCTTCTTTTGGTATAAGAGTAATATAGGCTTCTGTCCATAAATTGGGTACTTCGGGTTTTGTCAATACCTCATTCATTTCCTCTAACATTGTAGTACTAAAAGATTCCTGTAATGTCTTATATAGTTCTGCTGGTAGCCCATCTGAGCCAGGAGCTTTTCCAACATTTTGCCTATTTATTGCCTCTGTCAGTTGCATCATTGTTATTTTTCCTTCTCACATCAACTTAATTTCATCTGGTATTTTAGATAGTCCTGCTTCTTGCAAGTATTGTTTAACTTTTTCTTCTTCAGTTGTCTCTTGATTATATAATTTCTCATAGTACTTTTGTACTATTTCTTTTTTTTCCTCATTCCGGTAGCAAACCATTCCATTTTCATCTGTTAGTTGTATTATCCTTTTCTATTCTTTCTCCTTCTTCAATTTATATACTAACCATGTTCCCGGTTTGTTTGCATTTTTGAAAAAGTTCTGTTTAGCTCTCCTTTTTGTGCCAACTCCTCTTTTTCCATTAACCCTAATTTATGCTTAACTATGTCCATTTGGCGTTTAAGATTCTTTTGTTGTGGACATTTTTGTAATTCTTTTCCTAGTTTCTTATAGTCCCCTTCTAGAATCTGTTGTGTTTTTTTTAATATTCCTTCTTCTTGTATAAGTTATAATCAGACCTCTAATGTAAGCCTTCATAGTGTCCCATACATTTTGTAATGAAGTTTCTTCTTTTTTATTTTCTTTAAAGAAGAAAGCCAATTCTTTCTCCATATTCGTTATAAATTATTTTTCTTTCAGAATTGAATTATTCAAAGTCCATCTTGACCTTTTCTTTTGTCCCTTCCATTTAACCCATATTGGACTATGGTCCGCCCAATGCTTCAATGTACATTTGTGGTTAGTTCTGTTGACATCCAAAACATGTCTATTCTTGACGATAAGTGTCTATTTGAATAAAATGTATATTGTCTCTTCTTGATGTTCAATTCTCTTCATATGTCTCGAATACTTAGTTCTTCTTCCATCTTAAAAAAAGATTTCGGCAATGATTTTCTGATTTTTTAATTTGTCTTCTGTGTTTTGTATTCCAACTCTGTATCTACTATAGCAGTGGTTCCCAAAGTGGGCGGTACCGCCCTCTGGGGGCGGTGGGATGCCTTAGGGGGGCACTAAGAGGCAAGGGGGCTGGCAGGGGAGTGCTAAGAGGCGGCAGGGGGGCGTTCAAGGCACTGGCCCTGTAGGCTCACCCCATTGACTGTTTCACCGTTCCGTAGCCGGCACCTCGAATGCGGAACCCACATATGGCGAGCCTTGCCAAGCCTGGGAGGGGGAGAGGTAGGAGATGGCAGAAAGGGGGCTGGCAAAAGCAAAACTCTCCCAAGGATGCAGTGGAAGGGGTGGGTGGTCCGGCATTAGGAACCCC